CCCTTTTCAAGTGTTCTTAGTGAATAACTGCGTCAATTATTCAGTTGTTTGGCCAATACCATTACCATGTGTCAAAATATTGGTCAATTTGATTTCCTGTTCTTTGTTTGAAGAAAGGTGAGTGCATTTAAATTGCCACATCTTGACTCGATCATGTCCGGATCTGAAGGTTGGCCAAACAACTGAATAATTGACGCAGTTATTCACTAAGAACACTTGAAAAGGGTCCAAATCCAGGGCCGAAACGTTGTAATATTCGTTTTTAAATAAAAAACACGAGCCAGTGTAGGTCGCTTAAATTTATGAAGATTTACCTAGAATGTTTTTTCAGTGTATCGGCTTTCCTTGGTGTACATAACAATTTGACACGGTACCCTTGTGGTAGACAATCATTCTCAGATTGATATATTTATCATACACATGTTGTATACTGTGTTGTATTACATTTGTCATCCGTTGTTTAATATTTTACCACGGCACACATAAAATAACCGAGATTTTTGTCGCTGTTACAGGTTTCGTGTCGTGTTCACCGAGCCCTTGCAAAAACGGAGGACTCTGCGTGTCGTCGCCACGCGATGAATCACATTGCAAGTAAGTAATCAACCACACTTTATCACTTCCACTATTATAATTACGAATTTCTGCGTCGTCGGCGGAGCACATATCGTCGTGCATGCGTGTCATGCGATTGCACCTGAAACGAATCTCTCGTAGAAACGATCAATTTTCAAGACGCATTTGAACTACATACATCAATATACTTACAATTAGTCAGGCGCCGACTTGCGACAGCAATGTTTGCATTATTGAAAATGAATTCTTTCATTTTGATTACTTTCTTCGTTTGGTCAAGCTGCAAGCCACTTAGATATTGAACTAATATGCAGCCTATATTAAGGTTTCATATATTTCGTTTGATAATAATATTACAAGAAAACTTAGAATTGAGTATTGAATACATTTTCTATGTATGCGAATTCGCGAAAGGAAGTTAAAGAAAGTTAAAGAAAAGAATTTCCAATGTTATTCCCTTTTGTTCGTTGATGAGATTCATTCTCTTTCATTCAATTGTATTACAACGAAACGATTCGCTCGTCGGTGCTCGCGTACTAAACGCACCTTTACACGCTGAGCTGGCGATCGACGACCGGGTTCAAGAAGGGGGGGATAAAGAGAGATACCAAGGGGGGTTCTCGAGGGGTATGACGGGGCGAGAGGAAAAGACAAGGAGGAGGCGAGAGAACCGGACGTTTCGCCGCCTCCCACGCGAAAAGGATGAGAAACCGTGAAAAAGAGGAGGAAAGAGGAAAGAGGATGAAGAGAAGAAAGGCACAGAGTACTGGAAGTCGCAACTTCCACGACGCGAAATCACGCAAGCTCCGGAAAAGTTTGCGTCATAAAATCGCGGTGTCCCTTAAAAATATTCTAATCTTATTAGGCTAATATTTTTTGTATGCTTTTATCAGGCCGTGGATTATTTTACACTGATTTTCTCCACCGTAATGAAAATTAACGAGCGCTACAACAGAAGGGGTGTGTAGATGTTTAAAGGAGAGTGCATCGAGTCTCTCAAGAAATTAAACTTCAAATTTGTTGAAATACATTTTTGCCACGTGAAAAGCAAAATAGTTTGATTTTAAACACGGAAAAGAAATGATGTATCAACAAGTTCAGTGTAATTGAAATATGATAAAATCGTTGAAACATCAGTAATGAATGAGAAACATCAAGTCTTAATAATCTGGATACTTATTAGTTGAATGCTTATAATTAAAATCCATAGCAAATACAATTGAGTGAATTATTTATCTTTATGGCAGCCCGTGACGTTAACGTTTAATTCAAGCAACAGCATTTTTTTCCGTGAAGATATACGCTCTCTTAATATTAGATATAATTTCTAATAATGTAATTTGAAATTACCCTGTTCTGCATAACTTATCATGTTGTTAGCCAATTATATCATCGACGTACTCATTTATTGTCCTTGGCAATAAAGTCGCTTAGGTATGCACACATTACGATCAAAATCGCACAAGCGACAACATCTATCTGTTTCGCAATTCTCAGAATGGCCGGCGTAGCGTAACTTTAATGCGCGCTGAGGACTGTCATAAAACGTTCACCGGTAGTAAAATATCCTTGTTCCGCGAGCGAATCTTTTTGCCGGATGACTTTTTCGACTTCTTGCCACGTACGCACTTACGCACGTGTGGAACCATTTACTCACGCGTGTATTCGAGGAGTCCGATCTCCTTGTATCTCTATTTTTCGATCAGTATTGCTCATCTACTCGTCGTAAGATATAACATTCGTAAAACATCTAAATTGTCGATTTTTTATAGTCTATTAAAAACTCTCCTTTATTGTTCATTTGAATTACATATAACTGATGATAACAACTCAATTATTACACGCGCGAGCTTTACGTATTTCTCTTGACATTTTTAGAAATTTTAATTATAAAATATTGTCACGTTCATTTTAATTACCTCCGTAATTCACACAATTTTTTTACGCTCGCGGTAAAAAATACATAAAATTGTTATCACCGGAACAGTACTTTTCGTTGAACCTTTCGGACTGTTGTAAAAATTGAAACAACTGAACTCGATTAGCGTTCGCATTTTCGTCTCTTCGCGACAAGCTGGCTCATTGCTTTCCATCGTTGCACTCTCACGCCAGATCGAAACGATCGACGTCTACTACGTGAGCGCCGAAGGGCTCACGGTCGTCATGGATAATTGGAAAATTATCATGCCGCTTTCCTCCCGTCGATCGCCCTCTCAAAATACGGGATAATGAACGTGGCGGGCATGATTTCTGAGCAATACTTTAGTAGTCCGACATGAGGAATCTGTCTCTATAAACGATGCGTGAACGGACGATCGCTGTTGCACGCTGCTATTTAGGAGTACATTCTGTAAAAGTGCTCTGTAACGTTGCATCTCTCTCTATAAGCTACGTGGTACGGTAGAGCAAGAGAGAAAGAGCTTATAGAGTGAAAATCTTTCTACATAAAATACAGAGCTTAGAGTATAAAAAAATCTGTATGATAGATGTACATATGTATATCATACACATATACAATAATTTATTAATAAGATATTCTGTATTTACCTTTAGGATTTAGTGATTCGGCAACATGTTTCTAATTATTTCAATAATTACTACATTTTATTTTATTATTTTTTATTCCTTTTTAGATTTCCATTATTTTCTATTTAACAATTTATTATATTAGTGTATGTAAATATTTTATTATTATCGACAATTACCGTAATATTAAAAAAAAACTTGTATTAGTATCAGTAAAACTATTTTAATTATTAATAATATTAATATATTATTAACAGTTATTTTAATATGACGAGCGTAACGTCGTCACGTCATATTCGAGATTACAGACAATCGCCTGGTCGCTTGGCGAATCGAGCTTTGCACGCCTTGAGATAGAAATGCGCGCTGGTTTTTGCAATAATGACATCTTTGATTCCACGCGTCGTACGAACTCGTAAATGCGCGTGGCAGAAATCTCGTCTACGCTCGTCGTGACGTCGCTGTATGTACGAAGCTCGCTCAAGCATTTCCTTCGCATGGAAATCAATGTGTCCACAATTGCAATCTGCCACGATTTGATCGCGCGCAAAATGACGCTTAGGCTCGCATCGACGGAACGTAATACCAACAGAATGGCGTGGGACGATACGGAACGGGATGAAACGAGATGGGTCGGGATCCGGTAATAGCGGTAATAGTCGGCAGTCGTGACCCGGCGACGCATCTAAATTACCTTTATCTCTCTCCCGGTCGTCGTAGGTTTCACTTTTGTATCAGTCAGCTCGACGCCTCCGTGATTCCTTGGTACTTGACGGTGGTTCCCTTGTTTCACGTGCACACACGTGCACGTGCAGCCCGACTTTCTGCAAACAGTGGCGTGAACCTGAGAACATTTATCATTATTCTGATTGTGAAACTGAGACGTTGTTCATCAGACGCTGGATAAGAAACACAAAATTCGTGGAACATCCTTCCCTTTTGTCGTCGTCGACTCTTTTCTTCTAGAAAAATTAAGTACTAGTTAAATTTATTGCATTATCATCAAAATTACCGTTTTGAAATGGTCATTTAATGTTCGTAGATTATTCAGCTATTGTTTGCAGTGTGTTGAAACAAAGAATTGATTGACTGCATAGTATGCACGGAGAGAATTAAAAAATTTACCCTTTCGCGATTTCACGCTAAAGGAAAAGATTCATGATCGAGTCCCAGATTAGGGATCAGTGATCTCAAAAACCCTCAGATACCTCGTTTCGGAATGCCGTTTATAGGAATGACTTTTTGACTACACAGACATCTCATAGAAAACAAACTTTTTTAGTTAAAATTTTAACTTTGAGCTGCTACATTTAGTCAGCCGTCGATAATTTTAGAATTTCGACTTCAGATTCAGAATTGGCGAATCAAAATCCTTCTAGATATGAAGTAGTAAAGACATCGGAGCGAGGGGGGTAACCGCTGACCAAAATCTTGTACACCAATGCCCACTAATATCCAGTGGGCATTACTCTATCTTATTATTTTATTTTATCTTATCTATCGTGTTTTATCTTATTTTATCTTTATAATGGCCCAGCAAGGCCTAATGCCCAAAAAATGCCCAGTAATGCCACAACTTTTTACACCATAATGCCCTCACCGGTTTCCCCCTCGCATCAGAGTGAAAGGAGAATTGATTTTTGTTAATTTGGGAGGTGCGACATATATGTTACACCGTGCTTCAAAGGTTCAAGATAGAGTTCCCAGATAAAGTCGATTCCAAGTCAGTCGAGGAATTAGTTATGAAAGTGTTATTTCTCGCGATTTTTGCCGCGACGTCGCGACGTCTGCGCGCCGGAAAGGTCAGTGAAACTTTGCACGCGTGGCGCGCGTACAATTACACGCGCATACAAGCGCGACGACGCGTCGACGTACCATCTACACGCATTTGGAGGAAGAATGCGCCGTGTACCGCAATATTTCTCGAACTCGTTACAGATGCGGGCCTGCATGTGCCGCGGCTATCTCATTTCGCGTAATCTAAGACACGGAGGCGCGCGCGGCGCGGCGACGCGACGTGCCGCACTACCGCAACGCTCGCGGTATCAGAATTAATTGCAACCCTCGGATTAATACCGTTATGCCCCGGCGACCTTCGTGTCCAGTGCCTCAACAGATTTCGCGCTCCGCGATCTCGGTTATATTTTGTACTCCTGTTTCATCCGATCCTGCTCACGGTGTCTGATCTCGCGTGGCGTCAGCGCGAGCGCAATTTGTGCGAGCGCGCGATAAATGTTATTACGACAGAACCGTTCCGTCTAATCGTTCCCGTTGCGCAGGAATAATTGTAAGAAATTTCAGAGACGTCCGGCCTTTTTCACGCTGCGATTTTCCATTACCGTCGCCGCGAAGTTCGTTTCGTTACTTAAATAGAAAACCGCAGGCAGAGAATCTTAAATTATTTTGATATACCACGAACGTAACGGCTTTATAGCGCGTTCCGCTTTTACGGCGGTGAACCAGACCGAGAGTATTTCAAGACTCCTGTCACT